GGGGGGGGGGGGAGGAGGAGGAGGATGGTGGGTGGTAAGTGATAGGCTATACTCTCTTAGACTTTAGGAGGCAGCCATTTGAACCCTTCACATGTCAAAATATCAGCAGCAAAATGTAACATATGTTCGTAGAATGGTGACTCCCAGTCCAGAAATTTCTTGCGTAACCAGAAGAAAACAAAGGAAGATTTCTTTTTTTGAGATAAACATCCTGATACTGGTTCTTTTTTACATGGGGCAAAGCTGTAACAGCAGCCAGGCCTCAGTGTGCTCGCAGGGAAGATGCTCGCAGGGTAGCATCTTCTAGTGATCTTCTAGCATCTTCTAGCATCTTCTATCACTGAGTGATACCTCTAGCTTTTAAATATGGCAAACCCAACAGAGCTACTGAATGTCAATGGAGCTAATGCCACTGATCACACCCCCACTTGGTGGTGAAGAAAACAAGCTCAGAGAGGCCAAGCACTTGGCCTGAAGTCACCAGGCCAGCTGGCGGCACTGCTGAGATCCAAACTCGGGTCTTTGACTCCAAAACCTACACGCGTGACCATTATGTCAGGTGGTGCAGGAACCTGGCCGGTTTTGCAAAGGGCCGGATGTTCAGGTGTAACTGCTGCAAAGGTTCTACGGCTCCGCAGACCTGGACGAGAGTTCCAATGTGGCCTTGAGTTTCCACGTGCTTGCTGAGGTTCACCTGTGATGGAATGCGCCGGTGCTCCTAATTCTACCCTTATAACCAATCTTAGGCAACAAGACAGGCCACGTCCAGGAGAAAGCACGGGGCTGGTGCAGGGAGGCTGAAGTCTCAGGCTTCCTGGAAAGCCACGTTCCGCAGAGACAAGCATCAGCTCCCACCCAGGACACTTCATCTGAAGACATTTGCTCTCTGCCTAATCGCCTTTTCCCACGCAGCCTGTGTTCCTCTTATTATCTCCGTGCCAGAGGACGCTCCCCTAATCCATGGCTGTCTGTACCCTGTTAAATAATAATCGTTTTTCCTCCCCAGGGCCACTTTCATTTCAAAAGAAATGTCTGCCGGTGCTTTGGAAATGTCAGGATTTTCACAAATCTTAGATCGCTGCTCTGATGAACCATCCATCTTGCAGCCACTAAGCCCCTTAGTACTGACATTTATGTCAAAAGTCTTATCCCAGGGCCCCAGCTTTAACTGGCTTCGCCCCTCTGACGCATCTGGTGGGTACGCCCCACCCTCACTCGGGAACGGAAACACAAGCCTGGGACTAAGGCTCAGGGGCTCACCCCGTCCAACTGTCCTGGCGCCAGCCCCACCAGGAGGGTACTTTCTTGAGCAACTTTCCGGAGGACACAGTGGCAGGTATTAACCTTTCATCTTGCGGTGCTCTTTTCACAGGGATTGACTACCTGCACCCGGACCTGGCCTCGAACTATGTAAGTACCAGCCGATCTGCACGGGCGGGGGGGCACACACACAGAAACACATGCACGCATGCGCACACCTGCACGCTAGCCCGGCCCCTCTTGGAGCCTCAGCTCAGGCCCGAAGCAAAGGGACAAGGCGTGGAGCCTGGCAACAGGTAACGGTAGTGGCTTTGTGAGAAGACGATAAGGAAACTTGGGGTCTGAAAGAACAGAGCCAAGAGACAAGGGAGAGGCGAAGAAGAGAGAGCCTCGGCAAGGTTTCCCATCAGCTCTCGATGAGGATATTGAATTGAAGGGTGTAAATGAGCCGTTTGGGTTCTCGCTGGATAAAACCAATCGCAAAAAGCCAAAAAGAGGGGCACCTCACATCGCAACCGTAGCTTTATGAAAGCAAGGACGTCATCTTTTTTTTTTGTTTTTGTGCTTAGGAGCACCCCACCCCGACTTTCCCCTGCAACGCTGAGCGCACCATTTGGTATCTCTTGACGAGTAAGACATATGAACAGAAAATCGTAATAAACACTGTTGAGCTAGACCCACGTGCTCTAACTTCTTACATAGCAAATCAAACACTGCTTTCCTGATGAAACCTGCAAACCCTTTCAACATGAAGAGATTGCTTTATGTTAACCCCAGGGAGCATCCTAGTCAAGCACTGCTGTGTCTGCTTGAAATTATCCAAACTATTACTAAGCTGTACTTTTCCTATAACCTCCAGATCTAAAGGCTTTTTTTCAATGTTACTTTAGTTAGCTTAAGAGACTCATAGTTGGAAGAATGTAGACTTAGGTAAAGATTGTTAACAAGCAGAAGCGTTGGGAGATCAACGTTCTGGGTTATTCATCCTAGAAGGTATGTGTGTCCACACTGCAAAGAGAGAACAAAGTTTATCATCTGTTTAGTGCATTAGGCATCAGGAAAGGAAGCACCGATGTGCTGAGCTTCTATTTGCTTCATGGGTCTTACAAATCTAAGGAGTATACTTTGGACTATCTTTTGGAATAATAATTTTTTTAAAGGGTTGGGGGCGTCCCTGGTGAAACCAGTCAGTTAGCGTCCAACTCTTGATTTTAAACTTAGGTCGCTGATCTCACAGTTTGAGCCTGCTTGGGATTCTCTGTCCCTCTCTCCCTGCCCCTCCCTTGCTTGCTCTCTCTCTCTCTCTCTCAAAATAAATAATGTTTTTTTAAAAAATTTTTTAAAAGAAAAGAATTTAAAGAAAAGTTAAATGAACCATTGGTACAGTCCAGCTAATATGACCCCAGAAAGAAAGGACAGAAATTAAATCAGAGTTTTATTCCCAAAAAGGAGAATCCACCTCTGCAGAGAAGACACTAAAGCTTGGCCTGTGCAGATTCTGTCTCAGCACCCATCTGCTGTGTCGACAGTTCCACTGCCTCTTCTCTGTGACCTTCCCCCACTGCAAGTACCATGGAGCTGACTCCCTGGCTGTTCCTCTGCCTCCTTAAATTTTGTAAATTAAAAAAAAAATTTTTTTAATTTTTTTTTTTAACGTTTATTTATTTTTGAGACAGAGAGAGACAGAGCATGAACAGGGGAGGGGCAGAGGGAGAGGGAAACACAGAATCTGAAACAGGCTCCAGGCTCTGAGCTATCAGCACAGAGCCTGACCGAGAACTCCGAACTCAGGACAGTGAGATCATGAGCCGAGATAGACACTTAACCGTGTAATGCAAACCACCCAAGCGCCCCCCAAAAAAAAAAATTTTTTTTTAATGTTCATTTATTTTTGAGGGGAACAGAAAACATGTGTGCACACAAGCAGGGGAGAGCAGACACACACACACACACACACACACACACACACACACACACACACAGAATCCAAAGCAGGCTCCAGGCTCTTAGCACAGAGCCGTCACGGGGCTTCAGCAGACCATAAGATCATGACCTGAGCCGAAGTCAGCTCAACCAACTAAGCCACCCAGGCGCCCCTCCTCTGCCTCCATGCAGCCTCATCTGCCTCCTCCAATGACCTCCCTTCCTCTGCCTCCCCAATAACTGCAGGGCCCTAAAGAGTTCTCAGAAGGAGAGAGTGGGAAAGGCGTGTTTTGCGTGTTCTCCAAGGCTCTGACACCCAGAGGCCTTTCCTTAGGAAGAGATGGCAGGGATGATAGTCTGCAGGGGCGGCCGGTTCCTCCTCAGAGGGCCACTCTCTGCGCACAGAGGCATTTATATTCTTTTCACAGGCTGCTAAGCTTCCCCCCATCTCCAGGACCCAGCACCCTGCAGAGCTGCCAAATAGGGTTCTATTCGTTTCCACAAACCAATGTTACTGCATCTTACAGCTCGTAGGACCTCGGGGTGGAGTGGCTGTCAGATGGGCTGGCGGCTGTCAGTGCCTGGCCTCCCTCCAGCCAATCCAGGCCCTCTGCAGGTCACTTCTGTGTCCGATGAATGGACACTGCGCAAGGGAAACACTACACTATGGAATCACTACACTATGGAAACATCCTGAGGTTACTCACATGGAGAGTGACCTAGGCACCCCTCCCTTCTCCCCCACCCCCCACCCCGCCCTTGTGCTTCTGGGACAGGCTGCCCCCAATGCCAGTTGCCAGAGTCCAAAGAGATAGTAATTCACATGGGAAAACAACCCCCGGGGGCTCTGATGAATGGCAGGTACAACGCTAATCAACAGCGGGGTTCATCTGCCAGAAACCCAGATCTGAAATTGGAAAATGAAACATCCATGGAGGGAGGTGCCAAGCTCCCCTCTATTCTGCAGTATCAGATATATACCTGAACAACTCCATGGCTTCTATGAGCATTGTGTTCTTTTTTATTTTGTTTTCTTTCTTTCAAAAAAAAATTCCGATTAAAAAATACATACATGTTCTCTGTAGAAAACTTGGACAAATCACGATACAGACTCAAAAGCAGCCATGGCACCATTCTTAATATTTTAGCATGTCTTGGGCTTTCACTTCTCTGTGTGTATTTTTTAATGAAATCAGGCTCTGTTGCATGTACAGCACCCCTCTTCCACTTGACAAGTTGTAAATAGTTTTATAGTAGTAAATAGTCTTCAAAACATGATTATGAGGGCTACATAGTATTGTCTTATGCTGTGATTTATTTAAACATCCTAGTCCTTGGGGTCCCTGGGTGGCTCAGTCCATTAAGCATCCAACGCTTGATTTCAGCTCAGGTCGTGATCTCATGGCTCGTGAGATTGAGCCCTGCATTGGGCTTTGTGCGAACGACACGGAGCCTTCTTGGGATTCTTTCTCCCCTCCTCTTCTTGCCCCTTCCTTACTCTCTCTCTCTCTTTCTGTCTCTCCCCTCTCTCTTTCTCTCTATCTCTCTCTCTCTTTCTCTCAAAATAAATACACAAACTAAAAAAAAATAGTTTAAACATCCCAATCCTCAATTATTGGATGAGTTTGCTTCCAATGGCCATCTCAGAGAGGGAAAATGACAGATAGTGACAAGGATGCTTGAGGGACTCCCAACCATGACATACTCAGGACAGCCGAAAAAACTGGGGAGAAAACGGTAAGAGGCACATTAGATACATTTTTAAATATTTCAAATTCTCCATGAGGAATGAGACATTCAACTTATTCAGCACTTTCTCCCAAGAAAATCCCCGCCCACAAGTGCAGGACAAAGAGTATAGTTCAGTCAGAGGAAGAACTGTCCAGTCTCTGAGGTTATTAATCAAAGGAGTTAGGTCTCCTGGGAAATAATGAGTTATCTGAAAATGGTCAAGGGGAGGGTTGATGGCCATTTGGTGGGGATGTTGTCGAGGAGATGACACTATCTCCTGTAAACTTAAACTAGACATCACCTAAGAATAGAACAGAACACGTGAGTTCTGACCAAAACTGCACTTTTTGACAGCTTCCATCCAGAGGAAGGTCCGAGACTTCAACATTTATCAAACACTTGGAATCTTACCAAAAAATCATATATAATTATGCCTGGCTGTGAAGTGTTTCCACGTCATTGGTACAGGTGAAAAAACAGCATCCAGAGATCTCCTTCTAAATTTCTCAGTGGAGAACTTGAACTTGAACTGGCTTGCTCCAGTCAGCGTCTCTCTCGCTCCGTGTAGAGTTGGGAATGACAACTTTGAAGCTACTAACCAACCAAATTTATCTTCTTTATTTTTAATTAAAAATTTTACACTATAATTAAGAGAATGAGAATGGCAAGTGGAGGAGAGCTGCCCGGGAGAGCAATGAAATCAGTGGACGGTGATAAACTCAAAAATTGTTTGAGTAAAGGATTAACAGGCAGTGTCACACTTTGTTAGGTGACTTAATGGCTCGGATGTGATGAGTTTGCCCAGCGCTTCTAGTGAAATGTGCTTTGGGAAGGTCTGTGTTTGGGTTTCTCCAGAAGCAGACCCTGAGACAAGAGTCAGAGTGCAAGTAGTTTATTTGGGAGGTGATTCTGGGAAGCAAGGAGAGAGGGGTGAATGAGATATGGAAGGGAAGGCAGGCCATAGATGGTGTGTTATCAAAGTCACCATGGCGAGAGGCTCCAACTCAAGCTCACTGGGGAATCCAGGAGATGGAGTAGAATATGTGGGCCAGGGCTGGGTTTTTGTACATCAACTCCCATCAGTCATTGGTTGAAGGCTGGTCCTAGGGATGTGGATGTGAACATTCTAGCACCTCCTACCTTCCAGGGTCTCAGAGAAAGCCCTTGACAAAGAGAGGTGGTGCAGGCAGCTGGACAGAGCTCAGCAGGGACATGGGTGACAGACCAAAGGTCATATAGGCCTGGTTCTGGCAACATTCACATGGGTTAATGACCCTTAAATGTATTAAGGGTTTACAATAAACAGAAATGTATTGTGTGGAGAAAATTCCCTCTTGTTACTGATTATTTGCAATGAGAAGGGAAAGCTCTATCAGAGGTTTTTAGACGGCTATGACAAAAATTGCTTGATAACCAAATCAGGCAAAATGTTTCCCAACGCAGAATTATTTTCAAAGCTTCTTTATTCTGTATATTAAAGAGACAAATTTGAGGAT